ATTTAACCAGATTAAAAAAAAAAACACTGGGTGGATTTTTATCATTATAGGGTGATTGTGTACACACACTGCCAACACACATTTTAGTTCAAACAACTTGTAAAAGTGCATGTAGCATCCTATGACCCCTTTAATATAGTTACGAACTGCCATGTGAGTGTGCTGATACTGCACGTATAGGTTGTTTTTTAGAGTATGATGTATACAAAGACAAAATGTTGACAAAGGCCAACTAGAACTATTTATCAGGTGGTGGTTTTATATGAAATCACATGATGTGAATTATTATAACTTCCAGTTTTAGGGGGGGTAAGCATGAAGGTCCATCCGGACCTGATTTAGAATTATGCTGCATCCCAATTCACATACTATCTATCCTAAATAGTATTCGAAAATAGAATTAGTATGTCCCAAGTCGTAGTATGTTGAAAAGTGTCTGCCAAAGATGGGTTTCAATGAGGACATTTTTGTCCTTAAGGTCCTGAGAGGAACTATTTTTTTTTACGTATAGGTTTATTAAAGGAAATGAGGATGAAATATTAAAATTCCAATAAAAATACACACCTGGGCCAAAATTTCTGCAGTTGGCATTAACACAGGCAAAATTATAAAAAAAAAATAAACAAAACTGAAAAGGACAAAAATGTCCATAAGGTCGCACAAGGGTTAAACGAAATGTGGATTATGTTAACTGTAACAAGATGACTGACAGGGCAGTTTAAACGGTGACAGAATGCACGTAACTAAGCGAATTTACATGGAAGTCATGGTCTACCTCAAAAAATTTATGTCCAAAAAAAAAAAAAAAAAAACAATAGCAAAGTACAATGTTCAAAACATTGTGGTACTTTTTGACCTTTTTTTTTTTTCTTAGTGTCTCCATCAATACAAAAGCCAATACAGTAATAGAAGGCAAAAACAATAACGACTGTGAATCTCTACACACATGCCCACTCACACATGGGCCGGTCTGTTTGTCTTGAAGAGAAACAGCTATCGCGTTTAGTCCTGCACATGCAAATGAATAGAAGTCTTTTGTAATGAGAGGAGAGAGGAGGATTTGTGGTTCCCTGAAGATTTGTGGGCACCCTGCAACTGTACGTCTGACCCAGTGTGCCACAAATCACTGCGAGAGACGCTGACTGCTAACTGAAAACGCCAAGATGCCCAATTAATTCCAAAGCTCTGTTAATCAAAGACTTGCCTCATGCACATCCACAGGGAACAGCTCTATTAAACATGCACGACTGTTAATAGGGAGATATACCAAGTCAAATTTGTGATCTTGGTGACGAATAGGATTACTCCATAATATATAGAGAGTGTCAGGTCATTTCTTTGGTTTTTAGCTGAGCTGTGGTTTAGTTGCAGTCACAGAATAGCTGAATTAATGAGAAGTAAATCAGGTTGGGTCTTAAAAACTGATTGATTTGGTGATGTATCTTTAGGTTGACATGTTTTCTCTATGGAATACTGAGAAAGATGGGACATTTAGTGAGGTAAGGTATGCCAGATTGTTATAGACAGGCATATGTAAAGTGAATCCTGGAATTCTGCAGGATCTTAGTTTTTCCTATAATGAATGTTTGCATGTACATAAGTATGTAGCCCCTAAAAGGTCATGGCTCATGCATTTCCTCACAAAGCATCTTGGGAAATGAAACACCCTGTTGAAAAATCCAGCATATGCTGGTTAGGTATGTTTTGAAGCATGGTTGCTGGTTTGAGCTGCTTTAAGCTGGTCATGAGCATGTTCTTAGCTGGTCATGAGCTGGTTTAAGCTAGTTCTTAGCTGGTCATGAGCTGGTTTAAGCTGGCCGTGTGCTGGTCCTAAGCAACTAGCTCCTGAGCAGGTTTATTTTATAATTAAAAGTCTGTTTACTTTGAGCCAGTACCCACCTCCTTCTTCTTGTATTAAGAATCACTGCTACATTGTTGCTGAAACCCAGTAGGAAAGAGTAAAAGCAACGTGACGTGTAGCCAAGTTTGGTAACCCAACCAAGTGCACACACACAGCAGTGAGTCGGGCACCGGGCAGTTGTGGGTATTGAAGCCGGAAAAGAGTGCAGGAACGACTTGCCCAGAAGGGACTAATGGGCTCACTGCGATCTGCTGGATTGTGGAAGGGTAGCTGCTATTTGCAAGGGGTCAGAGGTGTTGCCGTCGTTCACAAGAAGCCAGGGCCTGTTGCCATCCACCATCATGGAGAACCAGCGACAAAAGCAGCTTTACAGTATTAAAAAGGAAAATAGTGTGTCGAAGGAACCAAAACTCCATCGTTCTCCTCTGGCCAGACGAAACCAGCAGTTTAATTCCAGGCTGCCACAAAGTCAAATTGTGCACAGGACTCATCTGGTTCCTGTGGTCTTGTCCTGATGGCCATCTAGGTGACGAGGTCTTCGCTGAGGATCTGTCTCTGGAGGCTCATCTAGTTGTCCTGGTCTCTGCTGACATTCAGGTCTGTCAAGGTCATCTCTAGGTGCTGATCCACTATCTGGACTGCATACGGACTGGATCCGGGTGACTGCAGTGACCATCTGATCTGGATACAGTCTGGATCTGATGGCTAATATTAGCGTAGATGCCATTCTTTTTACGATGTAACACGTACATTTGGTGTTATGGGAAGTGTTTCCGGTTCCGGATGACCTGATTAATGCAGCCTAACAATCCTTTAACAGATTTGAATATTAGAATTGTGTTAGTGTGTTATGTGTAAGCCAAGTTAAAGAAATGGGTCTTATCTAAATCTAGATTTAAACTAACAGTGTGTCTGCCTCCCGAACAGTGTTAGGTAGATTGTTCCAGAGTTTGGGAGCTAAACAGGAAAAGGATCTGCCGCCCGCAGTTGATTTTGATATTCTAGGTATTATCAAATGGCCAGAGTTTTGAGAACGCAGCCAACAGGAAAGACTATAATGCGATAGGAGGTTGCTGTCCAGGTGGAGGAGTGAAGCCATCCACCAAGTGATATCCTGTACCACCGCATCACATTGCAAGTGTGGGCCTCTTAGCTGATGGAGGACCAAGTGGCAATAGGGCCTTTCGCACCGCGGGAACCTTTTCATAGTACCAGAACTAATTGTGGAACTACCCACTTTTTGGCATGTTCGCACCGCCGGAACTGGGAGCGATTTTAGTACCGGACTGCCTTTTTCGAGAACCAAATTAGCTCCTACTCGGAACTAAAGCGGTGCGAAAGGCCCTAATGTGTCCAGGAGCCGGTCTCTTCTCTTCTGTCTGCTTTCTCTCACCTGTTCTGTCCTTACCCCCAAGGTGTCAGGATCTCCATGTTGGCCCTCTCCCCAGGCAGTAGGGGTGTGTGGCAAGCAGGGTGGGGCCAAGAGCCGTGGAAACAGAGGGATACCAGTGGCATGAGTGATAATGAGCACCACACTGGTCTTGAGTTCCACGGAGGAGCCGCGAAAGGATGCAAGGAGGCGTGATGACAGTGGAGGGCAAGAGAGGACCAGTCCTGGGACAATTTATGTTTTGTGTGTGTGAGATGGGCGTGAGGGCAGCTGCTGCTTCCATTTTTGCTTTTTGTTTTTTTATAATTAAAAGTCTGTTTATTTCCTGCCTCCTCCTTACCGTTTCAATTAACCTTGCTACAAAAATAATATAATGTAATATAATATAACGTAATATAATATAATATAACGTAATATAATATAATATAATATAATATAATATTATATTTTTGTGTGAACAAATTGTGTGAACACTTAAAAATATTGGCTTATTTTATTAAAGAACTTAAGAACTGAGAGTAGAAGTCTGTTCCAATAGCAGTAAAAAGCAATATGAATGTCATTTTTGGTTCCCATAAGAGTGACAAGTTAGAGTGAGAAATGAGTGGACCAGATGGATGCTGATGGCCACTGAATCCAAGATTAGAGTCGAGCTGTGCTTTCTGTCTCTGTTTACTGCCTGGTAGAGTGGCTTTGCAGTAGGCATTTTTAATGGCTGCCAATCGATTCCCATCCCAGGAGCCCTTGCGCTCATCGACAATGTCATATGCTCCGTCAAAACTGCCAGAGCAGCAGTCTTTACTCCGGCCAGCAGCAAATGAATTCCCCTGCATGAAAAACACCTTAGTCGATGCTTACCCCTAAATCAGCCATCTCGTATATAAACCGACAGCTCTTCTGCATGCAGAAGGCTCTGGCCTTTATGTCACCAATGTGTGAGCAAGATTATCTTGATTTCATTATTATGGAGCAAAATAGTCGTTGAATGGTTGGTGGAGACTGGTTTTTGAGAAAAACATTTTATAAATCAGCCATCTCGTATATAAACCGACAGCTCTTCTGCATGCAGAAGGCTCTGGCCTTTATGTCACCAATGCACCAATGTGTGAGCAAGATTATCTTGATTTCATTATTATGGAGCAAAATAGTCGTTGAATGGTTGGTGGAGACTGGTTTTTGAGAAAAACATTTTATTCATGTTGACACACGAGTCATTCTTGGGGAATGGTGTCAGTATCCATTATTAATGATATAATAAGAAATTGAACTTTTTTGTCATAAATGTAACTCTGCTTACTGTGCGATGTACAAATAAAACATTTTTAATGTTAGTTATTCATAGAAATGTCAGACTTGCGTGCCGTTCAACGCCACAAAAATGCAACACACTAATCTTAAGTTTACTAAATATTTTCTTAAAATTGTAAGAAAAAACTGTGTGGTACCAAATTCACAAGTTGCACTGATAAGTGTTTGCACTTCTTGTTAAATGCTATTTAAATTTCAAAGCGAAAATCAAATTGAAAACACATTAAAAAGACTGAACAATAGCATGGGAGGGAAATGAGTGATATTACCTGAATTTACTATTAAAATACAGTGCTTTTGGATTTGTGATATATTCATGATTTGAGATAATAGAAACAAAAATTTAAAAAAACATATTTGTTGATTATTAATCTGAATATTGATGGTGGTACATTCTCATATGTTTGACCCCACAGTGTCTATGGCAGGTACAGCACTATTATGTTGTTATGTTATGTAAATATGTTTTTATTGAAGCAAAAAAGTTATCTAATACCATCTGGGCCTGTTTCAAAGGAGCTAAAAATTAACTGCCCAGTTTCAGTTAATAAAATAAAAAAGCAAACCTAAGTTTCATCCCACTTACCTTCAGATTAAATAATAATTAATATAAAATATAAATCATAAAAAGGTTTAAATTGGATAGTTTCCTGAGAATGACACTAATAATTGATTTGCAAATATTTAAGGTGTGCTTTACAAAAGCTCGCTTACCTTGTACAAACAGAGCTGATGATGATCTGCCGAGTTTCGTTGGCAGCAGTTCACATGTGACTTCCTGTACAGTGGGGCTGAAGGAAGCGTTCAACAGAACTAACTCCCACACTGACAGAGATGACATGACTGAGTGATTGACTGTGGACACACTCTCATCTCTGCCCAGAGGACCATGTTCCACCGAAATAGTGAGGATTGTCCTTCCACCCAACAGCCACGCCATGACATCCCAGGATTCATCGGTGCTGCAGTTAAAGTGGACCTCACTACCTCGTAACACAGTAGCGTTCTTAGGTTCTAGATGGATAAAAGAGGCTACAGCTGTGAAGAGGAGAGACATAACTGAATAAACTGTAGACAATGGATTCTGTGATGTTTTCTGACATGACACATATTCTTTGTGTTAAGGTGTATTACTTTATTAAAGAAGAAGAAGAAGATGCATTTCATCCATCTTCTTTAATAAACACCTTTTCCATTTCTGATTTCATCATATGTTATTTTTTAAATGTTCTAAATGTGTTCTGTACTGTTTAAATTGAAATAAGCCTCTTATGTTCACCAAGGCTGCATTTATTTGATCAAAAAATACAAAAACGTGTTTTGAGAAACATTACAATTGAAAAAGAACCTTTTTTATATTTGAATATATTTTAAAATGCAATTTATTCCTGTGATAAAAAAAAAAAAACTGAATTGTCAGCAGCCATTGCTCCAGTCTTCAGGTAAGCCAAGTGATATGTAACGGATAATGTACATCCAGCCGGTTTTTATCTCAGAATAAACCCTGACAGGGTGATCAGGACCCCGACGCAAAGTGGAGGGGTCTTGTATCAGCCTGAAGGGGTTTATTTTGAGATAACAACCGGCTGGATGTACATTTAGAGCTTATTACACGGCTACTTGTCTCAAGTAAATTAGACACGAAATATTGACTTGAGTTGAAATATTTTATTAGCTCTTACGCAAAGCTTCCGCAAAGAAAAACAGTTCCTAACAAACTGGTTTGAGCCTTTTGAAGTCAGACAATACTAACATTTAAGGCATAATGTACAGTCGTATCACTAATTACAATAAACAGTTGTTTTTACCATATATGTTGAAATTAATGCTGAAGTCTTCCATTGTAACGCGGTGGTTAAGTGTTTTCAGTCACAAGATGGCGCCAGACAGTCAACGATAGCGGAGTGACTCGTTAAGCATATAAGTAGTACCCGAGCGGTGTGTTATTCAATTTGGCGGTTGTTATCTGGGAGTAACATACCGCTGGATGGTGCGATTAACCAATCAGAATCAAGTATTCCACAGAGCCGTGTAATAATCTGTATTAACATACATTCCACTTTAATCCTACAGCAATTTTTCTTGGAAGCAAAGTCGTGTAGTTGGATAAACACACAAGGCTTTACTTAGCAGATGACACACTCACCTTGGATTACACACAGCTGGAGAATGTGGCCATGCATATTGCCAGAGAAACAGTCAGGCCATTGTTCTGCACAGCAAGGACACAGTAGAGAAAATATTTGCAATTGCCACATTATATAAAATTGTAGAAACTTAACCTTGTTTACAACATCAGCTACACACATGAGAACGGTGCAGTCACACATTAAACAGCCTACGTTAAAGTGTTGTGAAATATGGTCCAGATGAGTATGTTTATCATACTATTTAAATAACCAAATAAATTTCATTGAATTACGTATGTCTTATGGAATTACATTTATGTATTGAAAGGGGAAAAAAATGCTAAAGTGATACCATGAAACTTTAAGATATATGTATGGTATACATTATGCGTTAAATATGATTCAGATTACAAAATTATCCTGTCTGGACACAATGACAAATTAAAGCCAGTATGAAATGCTGCCTGATGTACAAATGGTAGTTGGCGTGAAATACCTCTGAAAAGCATGTTGACTGATGCTCCAGCTAAAACTTCCGAAATTCAAAATTATTACTATTTTGTGAATGTAATTTTTCTATGAGCTCATGTTAACTGAGAAACTATGTGAAATATTTGTACCTAAAAATATATTTGTCACGCTGCTGGACCTCAGGCAATAAATAAATAAATATGATTTAATAAACTAAAATTAGAAATGGTGACCAGTTATAGGGCCTAAATATACACTTTCCGTTCAGCATTCATATAAGTGTATAACCTAAATATGGACATTAATAAAACTATTTTGTAAGTATAATCAAACTTATTTTTTTAATGATCACACAATGTGTGGAAACATCTGTTAAGAATGTGTGTAATTGTCATGAAAATAATGTCACTAATAAGAAAAGAAAATTTTTTTTTTTTTTTTTTTTTTTTTGCAAAATATCAATTCTTTTTCTCTTTTGAGTTTAGGTGAAATATGACCTGAATCTACTGCTAACACAGTAACAATATAAGCGAATTCATGACAACATATGAACAAAATACTGTTTGACCTTAAAATGTTCAGTCACCATTTACACTTATGGCCCAACATTTGTCTCACTTATTAAAGAATTTATCGTATATGTACCAAAAACGTCATCTGAATTACAAATCCTGCTGCTGTATTCTTACCTTGAGTATTCCAGGATGGTTTATACAGCATTCCAGAGAGGTTGAACAGAACTCATGTTTCCCACAGTCAATATAGTAGCAGTTTTCTGGCCACTGTGGGATGTGGCCGAAACCAGCCAGTTAAATATTACTGAAAGCAAAACAGCCTTTTTAGCCTTGAACTGACCACTGCAAATATCCACCAGTGACTCACAGGCTGTGGTGAATATTTTAGTGATGGCCTAAAATAATGTCTGAAATTTGCTGCTATTGTGAAGTCACATGTGAGGCCCACTCCTTGTCTTCCATTCACTATCTCTAGGGACTCTTTTTAAGGTCACATCCTGTTTGTTGAATAGGCACCACCCTGGTAGAACATTTCTGCTCTTTAAATACACACAATGTGTCAAGCATAGAACATAATTAAGCAGACAGCGCCTGTAAAACTCACTCTTTATTGGTAAATCAGGGTATTTCCAACCATTCATTTCTGTCTGCGTACAAAGTGCATTAGAACGGCCAACCGACAGCTGAGAATGGCTTCCAGCAGGTACTGACGTCACATATTCAGACTGAAATCAGACACAATAGACTGAAGAAGGGAATTGTGACTGTGAGTGTTTCTGTCTAATTTTAACTTCAACTTCACTGTGGTTGTAACTACAATTCTACATCCTAGAACCATATTGTGTAGTCTAATTTAAGTATTTATGCATGTACAAGACCAGTGAAGTACAGTACAGTACGAGTTTTGGACACATCGACTCTTTATTATTACTATTTTCCATGTTTCAGGATAATGACAGAAATATCAAACAAATCAAAACTATTATGTTGTAGCTTAATGTATTTTCGATGTTTGTTTGTTTTTTTGTCTGAGGGTGCAAATTTTAAACTTTGCATAGTGTTTGTATTTTTATTAGTGCGAGTCAAACGATTAATCGCGATTAATCGCATCCAAAATAAAAGTTTTTGTTTACATATGTGTGTGTACTGTGTATATTTATTATGTTTATATAAATACACACACATGCATGTATATATTTAAGAAAAATATGTTTAGATATTAAATATAAATATTTGGGATGCGATTAATTGCGATTAATCGTTTAACAGCACTAATTTATTGTATTAAAAGTAAACAAAAAACTTTCCTCATTTCATATGCAATTAGCTAAACCTGTTTAGGCAATTACCAATCATTCTGTAAGACAATCAGACATTTCATATTATTAAAATTACCATGAGCTGTATAGGCTCAACAATATGCTAAATAATTGTTACAAATATGATGGATAATATTGGCTTTTTAAATTGAATTCTGTCAAATTTTGTCAAGTTTCATGGTATTAGCAAAAACAAACTGTGGTCAGTGTTCATACACAGTAAACCTTGTTTGTTCATAGTTTTCAATAAGAAGGGGATATCAAGTACCTGCTCATGTTAGCATCTACAACAGATAGCTTATGGCTAGCTTAGCTTGATGAATTTGATCGAACACACAGTCTTTCACAACACAACATATGGGATTTTCCTCCAAACATTTGAAAGTTTATAACTATTAATTTCCTATGAGTTCAGTCTATTTTTAGCATTTAGCACTGTGGCAAAGTGTGTCCAAAATATGACTGGTAGTGTACTGTACTGTACAATATAAGACACACAGAGAAGTATTTGTAAGTATTAGTTTGGCACATTTGAGTGGTTTGGCACAACTATTTGGGATTCTATAGAACAAAGTCACAAAATATTCGTTTTAAAAGTAGTACAATAAGCTAGTTTCTATATGTACAGTAACAAAAACACATCCCTTTAAATTCACTTGAAACTTGCCACTTAAGATGAAGCAACTCTAGCATAAAAAGGCATTTTGCAACCTCAAAAAGGCACAGTTTTCATGGGGGCTTGAAGTTGGGGTCCTGAGTGCATATTCTCCAGTGCAGTGGTGTCACATTTGGCTTGGGCAAAGCTGCGGTGAAGGTTTTTGTGGGCGATTTTTTGATGGCTCCAGGGCAAGTGGGGTGTCACTTCAAGCTGAAATGTAAAGCACAAAATAACAGAAAAAAATGGAAAACGTGTTTATAATAATATGCTTACAATAGAAACGAGTTTAAATCATTTATAGTGTGACTCACCACCACGGCCAATTTTGTCCTCAGCACTTTATGAAATAGCTTGCGGCAGGGTGTAAAAATCTAATACGTAAAAATCATCTTCAATTGTAGAGAAGATATTAATTTCCTTTGTGTGTCATTTTTATTGTTTTGCTGAGTGGACGTTCCACTTGTTATTAGTGTCCGCAATTTCTCTCGCAGCTTTTAGATGTATCTATCTGTTCTTATGAAATCACAAAACTAAATCCTAACAAATGTGTCGCCACCCTTGACATTCACTGACGTAAACCTTTGGTTTATTACAAAAAGTTATTTTATAGCGGGTCAGAACCCAGAACCTTCAGTGCAAAAAGATTAATGCCGGACCAACAAATCATGCTTGACATTCAAATGCTGATCCATGCGTTTATTCACTAACCTATAAAACCCTGCGACGGACTGCGGCAGAAATATGCATCAAATAAAATATTTCACAAGTTCATGTGAGCATTTAAATTTGGTCAACAAGAATTCTTCTCTCCTCAAATCACAGTGTAATGAGACATTATACAAAATTAACATCTCATTGTACTTTTAAAATTGCTGGTTACAAGATTTTTGAACTTTTCTAGTCGTCATGATATTGCGTGTTGTCCATTTCATCAATACATCACAAAGGCAATTCATCAAAACAGTAAAAGTACATGTTAAATTATGTATACATAATTAATATTTATGACTTCACAACCTGCATGTCTATGCATTTATTTATGGTTCAGCCCGCTTGCCTGCTAGGAATTCATTGTCAGGGCATTACTGTAAATATATACACATAATATTGTTAATATTCTATAAATATAACAATAATTAAAACATAAAAATAAAAAAACATATTTGGAAGAAAATGACCATTTGACTGCAACCTGCCGGTGCTATACTCTAATGTCTCTCTGCCTCTTTTCATACTGGAAGATATAACTCATATCGATAGATCTTATGTTATTCCCAGTGACTGTGAGGGCCAGATTTCTGAACACTGAATTTCATGAATTAATATGCTTAGTATCAATAAAGATTGAAGCTATTAAAGTTACAGTAGCTTTTCATAGTACTCAATCAACTCTTCTATCTTAAAGGATCAATTAAATTGACGGTACATAAGCGAGCCATTGCTGACAGGATTTTTCTTTTGAGCAATCAGCTGTCCTTGATTCACCAGGCTAACTGATATCTTCAGTCCTGGATGCTTGTGTTTTATACTCTACCAAATGGTATCCTACAATGCCACCAAGTGGCAGAGAAGACAGAAAAAACACTTGTATTACCTGTGTGGGAAAATCCAGGTCCAAAATCCTCAGCTTCAGAGCACTAGTCTTCCTGTGAATGACAGCAATCACACAGTTAATTGCATATTGTCCCTAGATGTGCTATAAATGCTTCCTGTATAACGTGTTTAGCCATAATTCCATCATTCAAGAGTTTTATTAATTGTTTTGGAATAGTCTGGCTCTTACAGGTAGATAATACAGGTCTGCAACAAAAACTGTTATAACTACATAACTGAGTTGTTAAACAACTTGAAAAGTGTATGGATTAAACATCATTTTATTAATTTAGTTATCTTCAAAAAGCATCAGCAGTATTGAATCAATCTAATGCTACCAAATTATGAGAAAACATTTTTTGCAAGACAACTTTTTTGTTTTCTGATTTGCAAAGCATCTAGATTATCTAGAAAATAAATAATTTTCTGTTAGAAAAAAATGATTTAAATATGTTGTAATAAACTTAAAAGCAAGGCATTCCAGAGAGTTGTAAAAAAAAAAATTCAATTATTTTTTGGATGCTGGTGATTGAGCTTGCATTATTAAACTGGAATATGCCATTCTTCCCTAACATCAGACTCTCTCTCATTCATTGAACATACACTCAGACCCAATGCTATAAACACATCACAGCAATTCCTTTTTACTCCACATCAAAACACCATTCACTGCATTGCCTTTGCTTCTGGATGTCAACCATGCCATCCTGAAAGAGCAGAGTCCATGTCCTGCTTATCTCAATTCAACATTTTCAAACCAATGTGTATTGCATGCTGATGGTCTTGATCATCATCTGAAAGATGTTCTTAATGCGACAACATCATGATTACATTTGTTCAGCAAACTCTTTGATGCACTTTGAACAAGGCATTTTCTGCATCCTGGGCCTTCAAACAAAACGTCGTACGTAAATTCCATTAAAAAAAAAAGACAGGAAGAGCATAAAAATAATAAAACCGAAGCCCTAAACCCCAACAGTTTTTGGCCATCCAGACAAGATGATAGCACATTTTAATAATGACACTGGTAACCGAAAATATTTGCATGATGTTGCCAAGAACCAATAACACTGTCATATCAGCCAGCAAAGCAAACAAAAAAATACTAAGTGCACCTTTAATAGAAATATATATATATATATTTAAAGTACAACATAGTAACAAATAAATGACAAAACAAGGTTCAAATGCTTGTTAGGTTGTACATCTAATAATAAACCAACTCTGATTAAACAAAACACCTAGAATAAATAATTTTTATGTCTTTATTGAACACACAGGACCCAGCAATTACCAGGGCAAGTGTTCAATCAAAATATTTCAAAAGTATCTTATTTTTGTGGTATTTGTTTGAGCAAGTTAAAGCTGCTGTAAGTGACTTTAGTCATCCTGCTGCTTTCTGCCAGTGTTAAGTGAATTAGATTACTACATAGGCCTATTCTGTTTCCACAACCCACCCCCTAAATACTTGTACACGCAAAATGACTGACAGGTAGAGCGCCACAAGTTTTCTGATTGGCTAACGTGTGTCCATTAAAAGGAAGTCAGTTCACTTGTTTTTTTTTTCTGTATTCTTCTCTAAGCAATTTAGGAGAAAGATCTCAGCCAAAGTTGATACTTTAAAGAAATCTGAAAGCATGACCTAAAACAATCACACAGTGTGATTTTGAGGACTCCTACATCAGTGACTCCTGTCAGATAACAAGGACATTTTGTTTGTAATATTGAAAAAGTGAATCATTTTCAGCAGCTTTAAACACTGTAACAATA